TCTGTCCAAGTGCTAGTGATGGGCCAATGTTATCTTGTCGTCTTGACCAGATGAGATCTTTTGGGGAGGCGGGGGGGTGAGCCAATAACTCATCTTCATCATAGCTGCTGTAAAAGCTCTCCGCAGTTTCTTCTCAGGTTCGTTGCCGCTACAGTTGCAGACGATGTGAAAGGGTGTTGTCAAATAGCTAACAAAGAAATCTGCTTGCAGTGTGAGCCCCTTCACTCAGACCCCTCCTGCAGTTTACCAGGGCTGGTTCACGCTGCGCAGCCGCCTGCGGCACTATTCATCAGCACCATGCTCTTGTCCAAGCCTGCGGGAACTGCTGCCTCCGGCGGAAACATCCACCCGCCTTTGCTTTCCTTAATTCTTTGAGGTCTTCTTGTAGGTTGGCAGGTCTCGCTTCTAGTCTCCCGCACTGCGCGTACATGTAGCCTGTTACCTGAAGAAGAATGTTACTCATGTCCCAGCTGTTGTTAAAATGCGTCAAGTTCATGTTTATCCCCATGTGCCACTTCTCCCTCAGCCCGCCACTTGCTCACCCTCCTGTTGGGATTGGAGCATGGAGAGAAGGAAGCCTGGTTTTCTCTTTTACTGACGCTCAAACTGCCTGTGAAGAGCAGGCATGAAACATGCCCATTACTGGTGCTACTACTGCCTTAAATGCACCAGCTGATGGTGCTTGCAGGTATGTACCTTGCAATTCTTATCATAAAACAGAGTATCATAAAGAAATATAGTTACAGGGGAAGAAGTATCATAAAGAAATATACTCCAGGACTTCTCTGGAGTCACATCAGGCCTGGGTGAGGGATAAAGGTTGCTTTGCCCAGAGGAGCACGTCTCTGCATGTACAGAAACACGCTGAAAGGCCTTACATGAAGAAAATGGGCATCCTGGAATCCAGACTCGGTCGGTGCTACGCAGCAGCTGAGCAGGGAGACTGAGAGCTACAGCTTTGGATTTAGGCCCCTGTGTTTCACCTACACTCAGCTTTGTACTCTGAAGTTATTCTCGTGGAACCGCCTCATAGCCTTTCCTCTTTACCAGCTACGTGGAGTTAAGATGCCTGTATGAGTACTGAAGTTGTAAAGAACAGAAAAGGAAGCCAGGCTATTTCATTGTAGGGCTGACAGATAGCAAATGTAATAGTATCTTACTGTAACCTTAAGGATGTGAAAGTAAAATTGTGCTGCCTTCCATGTAGCAACCAGGTTTTTTGAGAATCTATTGATGCAGCCAAATCTGTTACTGCACTGTAGGCAACAGTTTCCTGTATGCAGCAGTGATCGGATGTCAAGTTATTTGTTGACCCCAGCATTATGGTAGTCATAGGTGGCAAAGTCTGACATAAATCCTGTTTAAAGCATCTTGAACTGAATGTTTCGAATTAAGATAATTTGAATTTGACATATGTCCCCATTGCCTTCACTGGATGCTGAGCAAGACCTTTGAAGTGTAATGGGCAGAGCCTGGGAACAGACAGGGTAGTATTTACACAATGCTGCTTCTGTCTTTGTGGGTGGGTGCTGAATGCGTGATGGAAGGAATGGTGCTGAGATAAGTTTTAGCTGGGCCGGAAGAGGTGGTGGCCAGCTTTCCAGGAGGTCAAAGCTGTCAATTAACACTGCTTAAAAATAACAGCTGAAATGGAGAGGCAGGGACCTGCCGCATTGCTTTCGGCCGGTGGCTGGAGAGGATGCAAGAGTAGAAGCAAGGCACTGGTGAGGTAAAACAGAATCAAACCTGGAAAGAGAAAAATATATCTTCTGTATGGCAGCGTTGTGGTTTAGCCATAGTCTTGGACTGTTTGGTTTTCATGCATCTTATGATAGATTTTCTGGACTAAGTATTCCTGAAGTGTTACACAAGGGTGCAGTGCCAAAGTTGCATTCTGTGAATCTGTGGGAAAATAGGAACCCTGAGTTTAAGCAAAGGTGACTGTGTTTTGCCAAGACAAGACTATACCTCTTTGAGTATATATTTGGGTATAACCTCAGGGAGGTTCACACCGTGAACCTGGGGCATGTGGGATGGAGAAGATGGGTGCTTCCAGCTCTGAATAACACCAATAACCTGCCAAGTCTTCTTTGCCCACAGCATCCTCAGCAGCTGTAGCCCCTCAGACTCTCCGGGCATCCCCACCATGGGTCTGTCCAGCTCTCCTGTGCTTTGCCCTCCTCCAGTGGCAATGAGCACAGGAAGTAGAGATGGTGCCATGGGAGCACCAGAGAGTCTTGCCTAAGCATTAGTGTCCATCTGGAGGTTTTTCTTTTGCCAAAGGTTGGTTTATCTCACCAAACAGATCCCTGCTAGCTTGACAGGAAAGAAAACTCCATATTATTGTTTACTTTCCTGAAGATTCAGGGAGTCTATCACATTGCTTTCATTTCTCCTTTTGGGGAACTGTTTTGCCTGACCCTTAGAGTAAGTGAACTTCACGTTGTTTCTGTATAGAACATTTCTTCAAGTTGGTAACCCATCAGTTGCTCTTCGCTCCTTGTACAAATACTCTGGCGAGACTGGTTTCATGGCATCTTCCATAAGGATAAAGTTATGTGTTGGCCACTACAAATATAAGCATTCTGCAAACTGCATGTAAGTGGTCAATGCTGCATTTAAACTGTTCAAGAAACAGATTATATAATAAATGTAGCTAACATTAATTAACACATTTCACATTATGTTATCCTTTTTTTTTTTTTCCTTAGGTGCACTTAACTACTTAACCAAAACAGTAGTTGCCAGAGTATAATTCTGTGCTTCTTTCTTTGTGTATCTTGGGGGTAGTGTGAAGGTACTGGCTGTTCTCATAGGTAGTATTCATAACAATGTGAAGGTCTAAAGTCTTCATCGCCATGTGTGTCGCTGCGATGAAGGCTTCATTGCATGTTTGTTCTTTTTTGCTCTATTAGCTCCTCCTTATAATGGTATATCTTCAACCGAAACCATCTAGCCAGCTTCACTGCAGATCGCTCTTTCCACTGAAGAAATGTGGAGTCCATTTAAATTAAGATAATATCCTTCGGTTGAATTGAAGGATCACTTATTCCTTTGACAGCAAAACATGTTCTTTTGGGGACTAGAACCAGAATGCTTTGTGGCGTTCTTTCTCAAAGGAATGTAAATTGGTTATTCTTTGTGCTACAAAATATGTGTTAGGAAGCAGAGTTGCTCAGCCTGTGGCCAGTAAGTCCAAGCAAGGGTTTAGCAGGCCACTATGAGGAAAAACTGTTTTCACTAGCTGCACTGAACATCTGGAAGAACTTACATATAAATTTGTCTCTTAAAAAAAACCCAACACCCCCCACAAAAAAAACCAAAACAAACCAATAAAAATAACCACTCACCCCCTCCCCCCAAAAAAAAAAAAATGAGTTAAGGAATAGGGAAATGCAGCAAAAATTGACAATGTTACAGGTGGTGTATATTTTTTTTTTTTCTGCTCCTAGCCGAGCATTGCTTCTGGGAATATGTTTATGTAACATGAAAACAAATCAATTCCTCATATTTTATATGAAAATCTTTGTATCAAACAAGAAAAAAGAAGTGGCTTTTAGAGAAAAATATTTATTTTAAAAAGGTGTTGTTTGAAAGTGAATATTTGTAACTAGCATTTTACTAATTTTTTCTCTAGTTCTTCATTTGCTTTGTTGGACCTATCGTTATGTGTAAAGGTCAAAAGGAAAAAGAGCAGTTACTTGTATTTTCCAGTGGCTTAGAACAACTCTGGAAGAGCCCTTGTAAGGAAATGAACAATTTGTTCTCCCTTCCAGTCTTCAGATAAATCTTTTCAAAGAGAGGAAGAGCTTATATTTGTCTTTCTGCTCTTATAAATATTAGGGTTGTGTTTTTTTAACATGTAACTCTGTACTGTAAGGATCAGAGACTAGATACTTTTCTCAACGGAGATTGCCTTTCATTCTTTGTATTGGTCAGACCAGTTTCAATGTAAAGTGATAGCACTAGTCTGCAAAACTGATTAAAAGTGAGTTTTAATTGCAGTCCCACAAGTAGGCAGGTTGCATTAGAAAAGCAGAAACTGTAGGGATCTATCCCAGGGTCCCAGTGAAGCCATAGGAATATGAGACTGTCTTGCAGTACCCTACTGTTGCCTTGCTACAGGGACATGTGGAGGGCTATAATTAAAACTGGTTTGCTCTTCACAAATAAAAGAATGAGTTACTTGTTGTCTTCCACTTCCTCTCTTTATTTACTTTTAATTAGTCACAGGTAGTAAATTAAAAAAAAAAAAGCCCAAAAAACAAAACAGAAAGCAACACAATACATTTATATTGGATTAGCACACTGGAATGGGAAATTAGTTCTTCTACATTTAGGAAGTTTGAAAATAAATAGAATAAATCAGTTGAAACTGTATCGGTGAGTAAATCTTGGTAGGTGAGGCGTTGCCATTGAAAGGTGGGGGTTATTAATTGAAGTAAAGACTTTTGCTTGACATTCAAAACTAGGCAAAACCAAAACTCAAGTCCACTAATCTAACACTAGAAAGATGGGTTTGGGGGCAGAGGGAGAAAGGGTCATATCCAGGACAATACATTCTTCCGGTAATCCGTAGCAAGTACCATATATCTGTGTGTACTGCGATGGTCTTTTGGTTTTAACTCTCTTGCTGCTGGTGTAGGTTCTGTTGTACAATCAGTTTCCCGTTTTCTTTCATCCTTCAAAGTTTTTTCCAAAACTCTCAATACTGATGGTTTAAGGAACTGTGTTTACATGTGTGCTGTATAGCATTGAGTTTCATTGTGGCTATTTAGAAGGTTATCCTGACTGAAAGTCTTTTTGCTCTTGTATCATAGCTAATTTTTGTTTGGTATTTCTTTTTCTCCTGACACTACATTTCATAATGGGGTGATACATAATGTTGTTACTTATTTTTGTAACTGAATTGTAATTCTTAAATGCAAGCCAACAACAGTTAGTAACTTTCGTAGTTTTACTTGGCTGAGAACCTTTGACAAATGAGGTATTTTCCTTAGGCTGAACAAGACAACGGCCATCCGCTTCCTGCCTTTGCCAATCTGCATATTGAAGTCCTTGATGAGAACAATCAGAAGCCTTATTTCACAAGATCTACATATGAGGGCTTCATCCTCGAATCCTCCCCAGTGGGAACGACCGTCTCTGATAACCACAATCTGACTTCTCCACTACAAATCGTAGTGTTGGACAACGATGTAGAGGAGGTACGTTTCTCGTTCTTTTATAGCGTCATACTGGTATTTACATTTTCATTGTTTTCAGAGTTCTTTCTTTTTTTTCCTTTTTTTTTTAATCGAGACAAAAACTGTTTTGATCAATAAATAAAAGAATCTTAAAATGTGGTTGTTACGGTTTCTTTTATTGTTTTCATTCTGAATTCCAACAGATTTGAAAGTGCATCTGAACTGAAAAACTAATCTGAATTTTACTCAGCTCTCATTAAGATTGTGTTCTCTTAGAGACAGTGAATGCTTAAAATGCATTTTGAGAGAAGGATGAATCTGCCGCACAGTGTGGGGAAATGGGAAAGAGAAGCTCAAAGTGGAAGGAAGTAGTAGTTTGAACAAACCAGGAAGAGGAGAAATAGGAGGACAGGAGCCTGAAAGTTCCATCCATTCGTTGCTCTGCACGGATTTTGATACTAACGTTACTCAGTAAAAATTTAACGTCTTCAAAAGAATAGTAACGTAGTAGTAATAATACGATGCCTCGAGGGCTAATGTTTCTTCTGCTCTTACTAAGGCTGTTGCTGTAATGTGTTTTTTGATAACTTTTTTCCCTCTAATTACTGTTCTCTCTCCAGTTGTCCCCTTTGTTCTTTTTTGTTTCTCCTCTTCTGTTCTCTTGTTACTTTCAGATACGTAAGGAAAACTAAGTTGTAGGCGTAAGTTTTGTAGTAATATTTACAGCATATGCCAAAACTCTTTAACAAAGTTGTTCTTTATTGTTAGAACAATCTTTCATTTTTAAAAGTTTCACTTTTGACATTGGCAAATTCACTATTTTTGAGAAATGTGAGATGCTGTTGTCGCTGAAAGATGCTTTCCACACCACTGTCTACATGAGAGTGATTTATCATCCTAAGAAGCTATTTTAAAGCATAAACTCATGTAGAATATCTCCTTTATATCCATTCAGATATCTCAGCCAATTTACGGGCATTCATAAAAATCAGCTGGAAGGAAAGTGGAAATGGCTGGTGGATCTGGCTTTCTTAGGGTCTGGATAAAAGCTACGGAATAAGCGCATGTGGCAGTCAGCAGGCTTTGCTGATGATGTGTATTACTTGTGAAGTACTCTTAATAAAAGGCACTGCTTTTATTAGAAGTAAAGCCATTTTCTTGCTCAGTCACATTAATGGGATCTTGTAGGTTTCTTAATGTAGGAATAAGAAAGGGGTGCAGACATCAGGTATGTGTTTATATTTATAATACATTGTCTGTGTGTGTTGTGTAAAATATCTTCCTGTCATGTGTGCTCAAACACAACAGAATTTGAATTGTATGAGTTAGTGTCCACAGTTTTAAGTGCTTTTCAAGCTGCTTTTAGTTCTGTGACCCTTATGTGTATTAAACCAAAAAATACGGAGATGTTTTTAGGGTTTTCTTTTTTTTAGCCTAAGTAAATTGCAGTCTGTTTTGTTTTATCCACACCTTCATGAAAGTACTGGTAAAACCCTATGGTTCAAATATGCCTTGGTGCATATCTGTTTGTTACAGAAACCTGGAATTTTAGGGCACTGTTTATGCCTACCTTATAACATGCATGATTGCATATCAACTTCACAAAAATGGAAAGAGAGGCTATTAATCACCTGAAGAGCTGAAGACTGAAACCCAGCAAGTCTGCCTGTGACACTGACAGACTTGCACATTAAATAAGTATGGTCTGAAACTCAGAAAAGACTTTTTGGCAAGCTGGAGAATTTGTCAACCATTTCTGCCTGGGTAGCTACGCTGCCCGTTTGGGTGATGGATGGCCAAAAATAGAACAAAATTGTCACTGCCAATCCACAGTGTGTTGCTGTTTATCTACAGGTCCACTGATGTTCCAGGGACTGAGATACTTGCCCTCGAGGCTTTGTAGCTGCAGTGAGCTAGGAAAATCCTACTGTGCATATGAAGTCCACAGTGTTAAAAGAAGTCATGCAGCACATCTGGGGAGAGAGGGAATGAATCAGTTGTGCTTGAAATGACAGAATCATTAAGATTGGAAAAGACC